ATCTATTTGTTTTTACAGGTACACAGCGAAGAAGATGAAGGCGTGTAAGCGTACCATTGGGCCATTCAAAAAAACGCGCGTGATTTTGTGTTTCCAGCATAATTGTTACTTTGTATATATTATAATTGTTGGTTAATATATTATCGAAAGCAAGCAAGTGGCCTGGTGGTTGATGCGCTGGACGGTGACCATTGGGACCTGGGTTCGATCCCCAGGTCCACCCAAAACTCTATATTATTTTGTTTAACATGATTGTGTGCAGATTTCCAACAGTGTTCTATCATGCACCTCAAACAATCAGGCGCCAAGTGGCCACATGCTTAAATTTGTTGGCCAGGAGATGAAGAACACCATACTCCCTAGTCAACCAACGTGCAGACAATTCCAGAAGTCAAACGAGGCTTGAGCTTAATGGGCCAGCAGTTGCTTACAAACCTCCTAATGGGCCAGCGCACCCCCTGGTTTATTCTTTTTTTTATTCTTTCTTTTTAATTATTTTTACTAATTATTATTATTTATTTAATTAACATAATTAATATTTTTCATAATAAATTCAGACAACTAAAAAATGTAAATATTTTTATTAATATTATTATTTATTAATTTCACCTTAATTTAATTATTTTTGTAAATAAATACTAATATAATTAATTTAGTTTAATTAGGTTAAATTTGACTTTTTTTCATAATAAATAAAATCAATTTAGAATTAGGGTTTTTCTTTTGATAAATTTTTAATTCCTTTTTATTTTATTTTCATTAAAGACCTAAAAAACTAAAAAATACTTTTTTCTTGTAATTATTTAATTAATTAGTAAATTAGGTTTAATATTAATTAATTGCAAAAAGGACCAAAGTTCCATTCTTTTCTCAAAAAGGGTCAAAACCCTAAGACTTTTCCCGATTCAATTTTTTCTCGCGCATGTTTATTCTTGATTATTATTTTGATCATATTTATGTATCTGTTTCGAGGATGTAATAGATAATTAGGGCTTTTATCGCTTTATTTTATTTTCTCGCATTTATTTTTCAAGGGTTATGTTTTTGGCGATGTAAATACCCGACGCCTTGTAATAACGTAGATTCACTTTCTGCAATTTATTTTCCGCACAACTATTAACTGTTAATTATGCATGCAAGACTTGTCTGAAAAATAAAATCAACTCGTAGCTCACCATAATACATGTGCAAAGATAATCTTAAACTGAATCCTGACACACGCGCACATGCCACTCCTAGGGTACGCCTCACTTGGTTGCCTCGACGTGGTCATCAAGTATAGGGTGTTTTAGAGGTCGCCCTCCTATCTAAAGATCCAGTTGCCTCGACACGGTTGCCTCGGATAAAAAGGATCTAGGACATTAGGGTTACCGCTAAGGCGTCCTACTATTGCTTTGGTGACCACACATGTCCCTATAATCGAATTGACCCGACAAACTCCAACGACGGTGCTACCTACTTCTCAATAGTGGGATAGTACTGTCTAAAGGACATTTACACATCTTAATTCCTTTAGATTAGGTAGATTTCTCCTGGGTACTTGCTCTTTCAAAAACAAAACAAACTTTTCGCACCTACACTTTCAAAAAGTTTTCAAACAAATACTTCATACACTCTTGAGGACAGATACAAGAGTTACCTAGAAGTTTTCAAACTGAACTTTTTTCAAAACCCACATACACAAGAAAAGCAAAATTTTTTGAAAACATAGTGAGCAAGTACCTAAGAGCCCGTGGATAACCACGGATAGAAAGGGTGCTAACACCTTCCCTTTCTATAATCTACCTCCCGAACCGAGAAACATCTCGAAAAGGAATTTTGCTGTGCTTTTGTCCTTTCCTTGTTGGATAAAATAAAAGACGGTGGCGACTCTTGCTTACCGCGACATTTCGCGAACCAGCATTTCAAAACAGTCAGTTCTATTTCCACCGATCACAGAAGGCCTTGAGGATGCCTGGAACACTGAATTCGATCTTGCACTTTTTCTTGATTTTTCAAGTTTTTGTTCTGCCTCTTGCGCCTGCTTCTAACCTAGCTTTTGATCTGCATTGCTTCTATTTGTATCCATGACTGAATTAGGGTTGAAAGAGTGCACTCAATCTTCCTCCATCAATGAGTTTGATCTTGATTTGATTCACCTTAAAATATTTCCAAAATTGGCCTAAAGTCAATCTTTTTGTTCACTTTAATGCCTTGCACGAGTTTGATTTGATGCTAGCTGTAATTTGAAACCTGAAACAAGCACCAAATCTTTTATTTTCAATATTTTGGATTTTATATGATTTGTTTTGATTTAAATTGAATTAATTCAAATAAAAATCAAAATAAATAATAAAAACATGATAAGGACAAGTGGCAAGGGCTAGAGCTCATGGACTATGTTTCCAACTCAAAACAAGTGAAAAAGATTGGGCCCATTTGGCAAAGATTGAAGTTTTAGGCATAATTGACTTTTGACAATTTTGCAAAAAGAGTCAACTTCACCAATGCACAACTTCCTCAATTTTGACTCTTTGGAGGTGTTTTTGGACTTTTTAGAAAGCTTGAGATGTCCTCTAATCAACCCTTTTTGTCTCACCTCAATTTGATATTCCATGCTCATGTATGAAGCCTTGACAAAAAAGGTGTTTTTGTTGACTTTTCAAAATGACCTATAATGTCCAAATTCATAACTTCTTGTGAGTACATATTTTGAACTTGGGAGCTGAAGATGGATTGTAGGAAATTGCATCCTCTTCAAAATGAGATTTGGATGGGTCATTTCTCACAAAGTATGAGAAAGTTATGCTTGGTCAAAGTTGAGTTGACTTTTCCTACAAAACCCTAATTTAGCAACTTTTGAGTCTTGATGAATTATGAGCAATTCTTGATGAATCATGATCAACCCTTGATCAAATGATGAAATATACTTAAAAATGAGGATGTTGACCAAAAATATTGAAGTTTGACTGCATGTGGGCCACAGTTGACTTTTGCCCTAGCATAGTCGATTTTTGGGCCTTTGAGCAATTGACTGAGCAAACTTCCTCTGCAAGGCTTGAAACTTGACATGGATGATCTTGGGAACATATTAGGACAATGTTGAGCATTTGGGGTCCCTCGGACTCAAGTATCTTGATGCAACATGAAACCCTAATTTGAGGTAGACTGCCTTAGGAGAGAGCTTGTCTGGCCAACCCTTGGACTACCTTGAGCAACTTGTGGATCTTTCTTGAAATGTTTTGAGAAATATGGGAGGGTAAATTTTGGGGTACAACAATGCCCTTGACCTACGTCGGGCATGATCTCCTCCTCTCACGCCAAGGATCTATCCTTGGCGTGCCCTTCGAGGACATCCCCACCACTTGACTGTCGAGGAAAGCCAGAGACGCCCAGGTGGACACCACGATGTGCCCTCCTCGTAGGGCACACACCCAATGTCTCTGAATGTCCCAAAGTACTCTTGACCCTGAAAAGACCGTGTCCACGCCTTCCTGTAGAGCATTTAATCCAGGATAGAGACCACGTGCTGGTCTCCACTACACATGTAGGTTATAGCAGTCTCCATTTTGGGCCTGCTCAACCAGCACAACACCAGCGCCGGGGCTATAAATACCCTCTCACTCGAGAGAGTCAGGTATTCATTCATTTACTCACTTCCATACTTGCACTTTGCTTGTATTCGTTCTTACTTTAGCATTGGAGTACCTTACAGGTACACCCCCTCCTCCACTTCACTTTCAACCGTCGTTCAACTCAAGCTCGTGGATAATTGAAGATGGTCCCTTAACTATACCCTTAGGTTCAGATTGGTCTCTTAATTTTTTTCGTGTCACTTTGGTCCCTTAACTTTCAAAAGTTTCATTTTAGTCATTTTTGCCTAATTAGCGACATATTTAACGATCGATTTCAAAATTTTTCCGTCGCTAATTAGACAAAAAAGACTAAAATAAAACGTCTTAAAAATTAAGAGACTAAAATGATACAAAAAAAATTAAAGGACCAATTCAAATACAAAAATATAATTAAAGAACCAAAATAAATAATTATTAATTAAATATTTTAATGAATATTATAATATATTAGTTAGTATAATATAACAACGAATATTATACTAACTAATATATTATAATATTAACTAAAATATCTAACTAATAATTAATAAATACTCTCTATTATAATATATATAATTACAGTATAATTGCTATATAACAATATAAATGTGCTTAAAATAAAAATTTAAATATTTCTAAATGTTTAAAGGCTATAATTAATTTAACAATATAAAATGAATTTAAAAGTGGTCAACTATACAAATATAGTCATCAAAATTTTTATATTTGTAAAATTAGTATAAAAATAACACTATGATTTAACAATTAACATGATGATAATTGATATTTTACACTATACACGTATCTCTTTTATTCTCAAATAAATATAAAATTAATCTATGATATAAAAACACTTTTCATGGGTCAATTATATACCTATGTTATAGATGAATTGGTTATGTTATTATTTTTTTATATAGAAAAAAAGAAGCTAAAATCCAAAATCTTACTAAATGAAAACAACCATTTAGGTGAACCTAAAACATAATTATTTACTGTATTTCTTATTTTATGCTTCTTTACAAGAGCAACAACAAAAAAATCTCACCCTAAATATTCATAGATTTCCCATAAACAAGTAAGCCTTCTCCAGAACACAAACAATATCTCACAAATAACAAACATATCTCTTTTTTTTCGGGAAAACGGCAACTAATAAATGTTAATTTGTTTTTATGATTTTTTTTGTGATCCAAAAGAACCTTTATTTTGAGGTGGGAATCTGATACCCATGTGGTGTTTGATTAAATGCGCAAAAGGGGTTTGACAAATTTTCTTTTTCTGTTATTGGTGGTGGTTGAATTGAATAAAATTGAATTGAGTTTGGAGTTTGAATTGTTGTTTTGAATTGAGGTTGTGGTGTGTGTGGTATGTGATTTGAAGTGGTTGGAGGGACAGAGTAAGGGGATGGCTCGAGATGGCAGCGTTGTCCCTGCGGACCCACAGGCTATGGTAGTTGCGAAGAAGAAGACACAGTCTGCTAGAAGTTGGATTCTGTTTGATGCTACGGGCCAAGGTTCCATACTTGACGTGGACAAGTATGCTATCATGCATAGGGTTCAGATTAATGCACGTGATCTTAGAATCCTTGATCCCTTTCTCTCTTACCCTTCTACCATTCTCGGTCGTGAGAAGGCTATTGTTCTTAATTTAGAGGTTCATATCATTTTTGTTTTTCCCATTCTATTGTATTTTGTATTTTCTGTTTTTTAATTTGTTTTTATGATTCTGTATTTCAGCATATCAAGGCTATTATCACTGCTGAAGAGGTTTGTCAGCTTTTCTTTCAGTCTGTTAATTTGTTGTTTGCATTTCTTGACATCTAATGACAATTCATCGTATAGCCACATAAAAGTAACAAAAAAATACTAAGAAACAAGTATTGTAGTATTGTCTTGGAATTTATATATTCAATTCCTTAAAAGTTTGTTCTTTTCAATGCAAAACTTCCATTTTATTTAAATATATTTCTTAGCACATTAGCAAGACCGACTTTTGAAGATTTGAAACGCCATGCTTCCTATCCTTTATATCTTGGAGAGAAAAAAACATTGGAACAATATGAATTTAATAAAGAACAAGCTTCTAGTTTTTATTTGGTTACTAGTAGTTGAAAAGCTTACCTTTTCAAAAAAAAAGTTGATAAGGTTAGACTGATTGAGCAATGAGGTGTGTGGATAGAGGAATCCTAGAAGTGGCATGCTCTTAGTATGTTATCTGATCCATGCAGTTAATGACACGTATAATTGGACAAATATTAAAATCATGGTATCTTGTTCATGGTAAGAAATGAGCACAAAGACAATAACCTACTCGTTGGCTTGTTTTTGTTGTTATAGTATCAGATTTTTTACTTAATGTGATTGCAAGAGTCCTAACTGTCCTGTACAAGAATACAACTATATTGTTTATTAATTTAGTGGCAATGGACAGATTTTGATAGAGCTGAGATAGTTTAGAGTATGACTCGTGATAGAAAACAGAGACAGAATTTTTCATTTTCATCTAACAACTTTTCGTTATGATCGAAAGTTAGTTACAAACAGAAACAGATTGCCTTTTATATTGCAACCTGTAACCTGCAGTAGCAGGTGAAAAGTTTGTGACACCTTGAAGGGTGTCAGTTCCAAAGCTACTAACTAATACTTCTAATAACTCGTTAGGTTTTACTCTGTTCTCTAATCCGGTTTGTATATTTGTGACTCCCTGTATCAAACATTTAGAATGCATAACTGTTCATAGAGATTGAGATGGTTTTTACATCCACATTGTAATTGTTTGTAACTAAATTGGGGTATAGGTATTGCTGCGAGATCCAACAGATGAACATGTTGTCCCTGTCGTTGAGGAACTGCAGAGGCGATTGCCTAAACAAGGAGATGGTAAAGAGTATCTTGGCGGTCAAAATGATAACGAAGCTGCTGAAGAAGATGGTATGTTAGATTACAGATGAACTGTGTAAAATAATAGTTAATTGCGTCTTTTCCTCCCAGAAATTTGTTTTCTGTTTGCACCATCTAAACCCCTATCTAAAGAACTTATCAGAATTGATTCTTCTCAGATATTGTTTTTCTTTCTGCATCTGAGTGATCTAAATTATGCAATCATTGCAATGTAGAGTCACCGTTTGAGTTCCGTGCCCTGGAGGTAGCCTTAGAAGCCATTTGTAGTTTTCTTGCTGCACGTACAACTGAGTTGGAGATGGCTGCTTATCCTGCATTAGATGAACTTACTTCCAAGGTACATAAATAATTCAATTCCGTATCTTGTTTCTGTTTTGATATGAGCTCTCCTCAGATATCGAATAAGCTAACAAATAAGAAGCTTCATCAAAAGTGGTTAAGGAGATTTTTCTTTCCTTCAGTTTAGATATCTTATGTTTTTTATTTCTTGTACTTATCATCATTGAGGTGTTAGTTCTAATTATGGATGCTTTCCCTTACATGGTTTCTGTTGGTTGACTTGAAATGTTGTTCTAGTTCCATGTCTGACCGTCTTGAGGAATCTGTTCGCTTAATTTTTTGGAATTCTCAACTTTATTTTGTTTAATTTTTATGAACTTTTGAATTACATAATCTGCAGATTAGTAGTCGTAATCTTGACAGAGTTCGTAAACTGAAGAGTGCAATGACAAGGCTGACTGCTCGGGTTCAAAAGGTACGTCAAGTTTTCCAGAGCTAGTGAAAAATTTGTGATGGGAAAACCCCATTTTCTTTTTATGAGTATACTCTACACATTCTGCTTCAAGAGGATTATTGATCTTTTGGCTATGAAATTTAACGTGTAAGAAGTAGGAGTAGGACTATCAATATTGTATCTTAATAGTCTATGACGAATTTTCCATGTTAGAGAACTTTGCTCTCTTATAATCAGGTGGTTGGGTTTTGCTTGAATGAGAACTTAAGGAGCTTTCATGTTCTCCATGCTGAATATTACGGGGATCTTATGATCATAGTAAAAAGTTGTTGATTTGTTTCTCTGCATAGCTTCACATGATCAATATCAATATATTTTTCAGAAAGCAGTTCTTCAATACTATATCAGTTTGTTTGGCTGAGTTTGCACCTCATTCTTGCATTGGACATGTCATTTCCTTTCTTCTACACAAAATACAACATTTTTGCAGATCATATCACTCACCGGTTCTGTTTATCTGCTGCAGGTCAGAGATGAGCTTGAACAATTGCTGGATGATGACGATGATATGGCTGATCTATACCTATCGAGAAAGGCAGGTTCAGCATCACCAGTTAGTGGATCCGGTCACGCGAATTGGTTTGCTGCTTCCCCAACTGGAGGATCGAAGATATCCAGAGCAAGTCGAGCAAGTATTGCAACAATGCGTTTAGATGAAAATGATGTGGAAGAGCTTGAAATGTTACTTGAGGTTATAACATTATTTTCTTCAAAAAATATTTAGAGAGGATCTTCCTTATTTTTTAACAAAAAAAACTGATTTATCGTGTTCATTTTTCAGGCTTATTTCATGCAAATTGATGGTACATTAAACAAACTAACCACAGTAAGTGTCGTCTCCTGTGTCAGTCTTAATTAATGTATTGGGGAAGATAAATGCCAGATGTAAAGTATTTTGAAAGATTGTAGTTGAAAATATGAAGAAAAATTATGTGTACCTGTTCACCCTGTAATTTAGAGCCTATGACCCATTGATCTGTTTACTGATCTTATTACAAGGCTTGGCCTTTGATACTTAGTTTTAGATTTGTAAGCATCATGAAGTTTAACCAAATTGATACTCTTAATGTTTACAAGATTTATATTAATATTTTGAAACTAATGGTGAGCAGAGGATATATATGCAAATTGCTCTCTTCCTAGGCCCACTCCTGCTGTTCAAAGTCAAACTTTCTAGTTTATGTTCAAAATTTGTTTTAAAAAGATTCTGTGCGCAGTGATTTTTAAAATTCTGCCTCATTAGTTATAAGAGTTGTGAGAGAATACACATTAGCCTTGTTAAATGCTAGACCTAGTGTTCTTAAACTGTGTTTCCTTGAACTCTGAATTTGCATTTTTGTTTCTTTACCGCATATCAACTGGATATCATATTTAGTTTAATTACTTTCCCTTTTCTTTTCAATGTAAAGCTGCGAGAGTATATTGATGATACCGAAGATTACATTAACATTCAAGTAAGCAACTAGCAGTTTATTTACTGGTAATAACAATAAGTATTTGGTGAATGACTTTGACTTGTAATATGAATACATATTTTTTCCTTGCATTTTGCAGCTCGACAATCATCGTAATCAGCTTATTCAGGTACGTTTTATGTTTCTGCACCATGCATGTCTTGTATCGTGTTTTCTAAAATGTATATACTAAACCTTTCAACACTTATGCAGTTGGAGCTCTTTCTTAGCTCTGGAACTGTATGTCTATCTTTCTACTCTCTGGTGACCGCTATTTTCGGCATGAACATCCCATATACTTGGAATGATGACCATAGCTACATGTTCAAATGGGTAAGAAAACTCTTGCTGTTTATGCGCACCCACGTGGCTACAAAATTTCTAACTAAATAGATTAACATATATAATATGTTTACTTTACTTGCAGGTAGTTATTTTGGGAGGAGTATTCTCTGCTATTATGTTTCTCATGATTACCCTCTTTGCTCTCAAAAAGGGTTTGGTTGGAACATGAAGATCAATACGCTTGAAAAGGGGTGTAGAGAATGAATACTAGGACTACTACATATGGTCTAATGGTAATGACTCACATTACAAACCTTATAGATATTGATGATGATTCAAGATTTTGTCAATTTTTTCAAGATTCCATTAAAGTTATAATGGAAACTTAGCTCTAAGAGTTCCATAGTTGAATATGGAGCTGGTGTTGGCTTAGCAGGTCCGCACTTTGCAATTACCTCAACTACTTTGTCATTTGGATTCAAGTCTAATAAAAAAACTTTTAGAGCTAATTTTTACATTTGAATAATTTTAGGCCTTGAAATGTGATTAAATTAAGTTGAATATGCTATTAATCTTTTATATACTCTTCTTTTATGTTAATGTAATAGTACCAATTTTCTTCTGTAAACTTCATGTAAACATGGATCAGATAAGCATTATAAAAAAATTTGTTCTATTGTTGGTGATCTATGTTGCTGAGATCTAGTTCATTTTTTCTGGTGCGAGATTCTTGCATCGTTTATTGCTTTATTGCTTTACTAGGAAAGCACCCTTGCTTTCGCACGGCTTTGTTATATAACATTGTTACGTTAATTATTATTAAAATATAAAAATAATATTATATTTTCTTGATGAATTTAAAAGTTATATTGATGAATAAAATAATACCATATTAGTTATAAATGAATTATATAGTTTAATTGTTACATTGTAAATTAAATACATTAATAATAAACATGATTTTCATCTAATATTTGGGAATTTTTAATAAAACTAAATGATTATGGTCATATGATTTGATTTTGAATAAGTGCAGAAATTGCTAAGATTAATTTTTATAAAGTTGAAGAAAGTATGATTGATTGATTTTAATATTTTTCTCATACTCTTAATTTTTTTTAAAATTTTTTATATATTAATTAGTGATAAATATTTGTCTGATAATTTCGTATGTGTCAATCATAAATATGTGTTATATATAAGTTTCTTTTTATATTTAGCAATAGAAAATATTTTTCCAAATTTTTTTGTTAGAGACAAATATTCGTCCCTTTTATATTAATTAAAGACAAATATTTTACCCATATTTTTTGTGTATCACTAATAACTATTTGTTTTGTATTTTATTATTGTGTTGGTGATAAGTATTTATCCTTATTATTTAGATGTATCAATGAAAAATATTTATTTATTGTTTTTTAAATAAATAAATTATTATGCTATGTGAGTGTAAAAAATTTTACACTATTAATTTATCACTTGTTTCATCGTTAAAATAAAAGTTAAACTTCTCTCAATATCTAACATCTATGATTAATTAATTGTGTAAAAAAGTTTACACTATCAATAAATTAATTGCATACTATATGAGTGTAAAAAGTTTTACAGTATAATTCACTCGTTTGTATTGTTTTATAGATTGTTAAAATAAAAATCAAATTTCTTTTGACATCTGACATCTATATTTAATTGATTTTATAAAATTTTTTACAGTCATTGTGTTTTAATTAAATTCTATTTTAAATTATTGTGACAAATACTTATTTTATTTATTTTTTAATACTATAAACTAATTAATTAACTACAGAGAAATTGTCCGGTATGAGTTGCTTACTTCCAACAACTTTTTAAGTAATTCATTTCCTAAAAAATAATGTGATAAAATAAGAATAACTATGTATTGTAAGTATTCCCATTTTTTAGATATCAAATAACACTAATTTTCGTCAACATTTTATCGACAAACATTTTATTAAATTTTTTTTATAACTAATTAGTGTCAAATATCTCTATTGTGTATGAATTGTATTATCTAATGATTTTAGTAACTCATTTTCAAGTGAAAAAATTGAAGTGTGGAAATTTATTAGTTAGAATTTTTTTAGCAATACTTAAATATTGAAAAAAAATACACAAATAACCATGTTTATGAGAAAATTACGTAAATAATCATGTTTTAAAAAAATTCCATAATGGAGGAGTCAACTGAGATGACGCATGCACCTAAATTTAAGAAGGAGGCGCCAAGTGAGATGGCGCCTAGGTGCAACATGGTTGCCCTAAGCCATCTCAGATGGCGCCTAGGTGCAATTGAAGTGTAATTTTTTTTGCTTTTTATTTTAAATACGAGACAATAGGTAAACGATATAGTTTCACGAAACTTCGACTTTTCATTAACAAAAAATGATTACATAATGAAAAAAAATCATACATATTAATTAGTGGTCCCCCAGAACTCGGTAACAATCAGTGGTTCCGCATCCGCGTCCTCGCTTATCTCGTGGTGGATTTCATCAATTTTCCTGCTGCGATTGGGTCTATGGCCCAGCGAAGTCAATGCGTTCAGGATCCATGAAATCAGTCAGATCACCATATCTGGAAGATCCGCTTTAGTACAGTCGGTTACACATGCCCTCAAAGTTTGGTCGTCTTGGTGGAGGATGGGGTTCCATGGATGGTCTATAACATTGATCGTCTAAGTAAGGGGGGTAAAAAGAAAATGAATCTTGGGGCGTTTGGTATTGCGACTATTGGGTGCTATGGTGATGTGGTGGTTGATGGTAAGTTGTGTCGGTTGGGTCATATTCTTCGGGAAATCCCAGATCAGGGTTAAGGTGAGATGATGAGGGGCCCACATTGGAATATGGAGAAGACTGGAATTGTGTGTGGGGTATGTGGGTGTATCGGTATTGCGATTGAGATTGGGGTTGGGTGTGAGGCATATGGGAGTATTGGTATTGAGGTGGTGATTGTGGTTGGGTGTGGGGCATATGGGTGTATTCGTATTGATGTGGTGATTGTGGTTGGGTGGTTTTGGATCTGTATCATCGAGGTGGTTGGTGGAAGATTGATGTGTGTTGGGTTTGTTGTTGGGGATTTGAGGTTTGTGTCCATTGTGTTCGTGGGTCAACCAAATACCTCAGATGAGACACGTGTATTTCTGGATTACTAACCGATCTGTACCAATCAAAATATTGACTTGTGTGTCGTATATTATTCTAGTTGAGGAAAACAGGGAATTACAAGACATGTTGGTGACGCCTATACCACACCTTACACCATTCTAGAGCAAAATCTTTCCAATTAGTAAGACCCCATTGGGCGTCGACCCTTTTGAGATGCCAGAGAGACAAATAAGTTGGATCACATGGTATCTTTTGATGCATTTTAAACTGCATCTTGACACGGTCGCTATGGTGCAATTCCATAACATTAAACCATATGATTGCAGTCTTTGCAGTCCAAACTGTTGCATCATCGGGGTTTGGTTCATGGTCCAAACCCAAATATGGTCTCCAAATAAACTGTGGATAAAATTAAATCAGCATAATGAAAATGTAATAAATAAATAATTTAAAAGTAGAAAAGTTCAAAGGTATCACATACATCATCTAGGCTAAGGTGATCCAATAGATTACGATATAGAGTGACATTGAATCTTGGATTCTTGCCGTAATCCATACTCGTCACGCAGTACCTAAAGGAATGGTAAAATAGTTTATTTTAAACATGTATTTGACGAAACGATGAATAATAAATGACTTAAGTTCTTGACTTACTTTGTTGTGTATAAGAAAATGAATGTGTTGTTGTTGACGGGGTTTAGGGACTCCATTCTCCACCAACTTCAAGCTTGGAGTAAGAAAGCGCACCCATAAAAAGTATATTTGTCCTTTGTTGCATTTTTACATAAAGAATTGTATAGATGGGCTAAAACAGCAGAACCCCAACTATACTTTCTTATTTTTTCAAAGTTCCTAAGCAAACTTAAATACATAAAATTTACACTATTCCCTGTACTTTTGGGAAATAACAAGCTTCTAAATAGTATCATCATATAATTTCTAGCTTTTATTACTCTTTCTAGCTCGGACGAATTTTCATTCAACTCAAGAGTTGCATAATGTTTTTTGAGTTCAGTTAGTAATATACCTTGGCCTCTAGCACCACTACCTTTTGCCATATCTTTGCCCAACAATTCCTCGCATAGAGAATTGGATTGTTGAACCAACCCATTAACCGCCTTACCATCGATAGGGAGGCCCAATAACATGTACACGTCCTCTAGTGTGACAGTACATTCACCTATTGGTAGATGAAATGTGTCTGTCTCGGGTCTCCATCTTTCCAACATTGCAAGTATAAACTTGGAATCAATCGTGCAGTTTAAGATTTTTATAACATTTCCAAAACCCCCATATTCGAGACAGGGTATGATCAACGGGTCGGGAGCAATGTAGTTGTGTGAGCAAATTCTAAATCTTTTAGTATCCTAAATTCAAAATGTAAAAAGTATAAGAGTCCATAAGATGACTAAATCAATAATAATTTTATAAAAAGTATATTAATATACAAGAATATTTGAGTCCATAATATATATATATATATATATATATATATATATATATATAGACTTTAAAAAATTACTTTTAAGTCCGTGAAATAAGCGAGCTAAACCTAACGAGTTGAAACGAGATGTTCATGAACTTCTAACAAGTCGAGTTTAAGCTGGAAAAAAAGTTCACGATGAACTCAAACTCAAACTCGAACTCGGCCAATTTTTAACGAGTTGTGTTTGAGCTGAAAAAAAAGTTCGTGATGAACTCGAACTCGAACTAATTAATAAAGAGTCAAATTGAACTGAGACGAGTTCGACTCGACTCATTTCGAGCCCTAATCACAGTCTCAAAACTCATGCTTTTGTATGAATTGTACATTCACAATTTTTTCCAGTAATTCATTTACGTAAAAATGTGTTTCCTCCATGTCCTCCTTCGCTCCCCCTTTCTCCTCTTCTGCCTCCCTTTCTCTATTGGTTCATTATGGATGTAGCTATGCTATTTCCCGAAGCAAACATCTCCTTTACGCCTCCAAATGCAAGGGAAACAGTTGTAAACACTATTACGGAAATTCCAACTAAACCATTCTCTTCAGTGGTTGCAAATAATGATTGTGACATACCCCTAAGTCAGCTTCCTACTCCTTGCTTGAAAGGAGAAAAATTAGCCA